ACCACGTTCAGAAAACAATTAGATAATTACACGAATGATATTGAGAGATTTAAAATTAATTATTCTTAATTATATGTATATATGAACAAAAAATAGACTTTTTTTTTCTTAACGTGAATGGAAAATAAATTCTTAGCTGTTGTTTTGCATAAAATATTAAAAAAATTGTATTGAAAACACTTTTTTTTTTTAAATGAGTTGCTTTTCATCTTATGATTGTATTAAAACCATATTTTCATGTCAAATAAAGTAATTCTTGATGGTGGTTTCCAAATGATGTTAATAAAATAAAATATGATGTTTTTAATAAAAATAATAAAGGTGATAGTGATTATTATAATAATACTGGTAATATATTTCAATTTGTAATTATGATGGTAGCATGATGCCAGTTATTATAATAATCAAGATAACATTAATGATAAAATAATCGATAGCTGTAATGATAATTAAGAAGATAAGAAGATAGTGGAGACAGCAACCCTAATGTTTTCCATATTTGTTGGGTAATAATAGTAGTTGTAAAAGAATCCAAGCACAAAAAAATATTTAGCTCATGAATTTCAAGTTTAGCTCTCATTAAACAAGGAGGTGCTAGACAAGGAAGAACTTCGAATCATATATTTAGCCGTCATTAGAGAGAAAGACGAATGTAGTAATAGTATTGTGTCAAGAACATGCCTTTATAGTACACATGCACACATATATTTGTCATGAATTTCAAGTTTAGCTCTCATTAAAAAAGGAGGTGCTAGACAAGGAAGAACTTCCAATCATATATTTAGCTGTCATTAGAGAGAAAGATGAATATAGTAGTAGTATCGTGTCAAGAACATGCCTTTATAGTATACATGCACACATATATTTATGAAAGCTTAAGTATTTCCAGGAAAGGTGGGATCCTAATACCCAAATATAACAAAATTGTTGAGTTTTGGGGGTTGTTGAGAAAGATTAGGCTAAAGAATCTCTCATCTTTATAACAAATAAAATAGATTCTCAATGGTTTGTTTTGCATAAAGTACTTTTTTAGAAAAAATATTTTTATACTGAAAATAGTTTTTTTTTATATATAAATTATGTTTCATTGTTTGAATGTATTAAAAAAGATGGTTTTTTAATAATGATAATAAGATGAAAAAAATTATAATGTTTCTAGTAAAGGTTATAATGATGAAATCTATAATGATGGTATTACTCATGGTTATGATAATAATATTTGTTATAATATGATGATAATGGTTGTGACAATAATCATAATAATGGTTGTTTTAAATAACAAGATTGTTAGTAGTAACTTTAATTAATAGAGAGGCGATCTTACTTTTTCTCTATTTTAGGCCTACTTAAATGATATATGTTTTTTTAATACCCTTTAATTCATATAGTCTCTTTTTATGTTTGTTTTACCCTTTAATTCATATAGTCTCTTTTTATTTTTGTTTTTTTTTCTAATTTATATCATCTCATTTTTGTTCTTCTTTTCTTTCAACTTTATTTTTACCACTCAATTCTTATTCCTCTAGAATTATTTTTGTTCTTTAGTTTTGTTAACCTGAGATTTCATCTGATAATCCTTTTTAAATAGAACTATAATGCTACCTTTAATTGGATTAACTTGAAATTTCAATGTAAATACTCCCTTTAACTAGAACATTAATCTTTATCTTCAACTCAGTTAACCTGAGATCTCATCTTGCGATCTCTTTAATTAGAACCAAAATGTTACTTTAATGATCTTAGGGTTTTGAAAAATCGATGCTTCTTGAAGATTCTTTTGATCTTCTTTTCTTGAGAATTTTATAATATTAGAATTCTTCTTACTTTTTTTTATATTTATTGTAAGGTCGAATTTTTTTGTATGTTTTGATTGCAAAGTTGACTTGAAATTTCTTAATTGTGAGGTTTGAGAATCTGGTGCTTTTTTATTTCAGAATTGACCTAAAAATTGTTCCTGATGATAGGGTTAATATTCTTCTTTCTTGAGAATTTTCTAATATTAAGATTCTTCTAACTTTTATTCCTGATTGCAGAGTTGAATTTCTTGGTATTTTCTAATTACAGGATTGAATTGAAGATTGTTCCTAATGACAAAGTTGATCTTCTTCTTTTCTTGAGAATTTTCTAATATTAGAGTTCTTCTAACTTTTATTCCTGATTGCAGGGTTGAATTTCTTGGTGTTTTCTAATTACAGGATTGACTTGAAGATTGTTCCTAGACAAGGTAGATCTTCTTCTTTTCTTGAGAATTTTCTAATATTAGAGTTGTTCACTTTTATTCTTGATTGCAGGGTTTGAATTTCTTGGTTTTTTCTACTTGTAGGGTTAGCCTGAAGATTATTCCTGATGATAGGATTGATCTTCTTCTTTTCTTGAGGATTTTCTAATATTATGGTTATTCTAACTTTTCTTCTTAATTGTAGGGTTGAATTTTTTGGTGTTTTCTAATTGCAGGGTTATCCTGAAGATTCTACCTCATCATATGGTTGATTTTTTTTTCTTGAAAATTTTCTAAAAGTAGGGTTTTTCTTTTCTTTTCTTTTTCCTTGATTGTAAGGTTTAACTGATATTTCTTAGTCATAGGGTTTGAACTTGGTGCTTCTTGATTATAGGGTTGGCCTAAAAATTCTTCTTAATAACGTTTTTCTACTTGTAGGGTTAGCCTGAAGATTGTTCCTGATGATAGGATTGATCTTCTTATTTTCTTGAGAATTTCTTATTAGTAAAGTTCTTTTCTCTTTCTTTCCTGATTGCAAGATTTAACCGATATTTTCCAATTGAAAGGTTTGAATTTAGACTCCTTGATATTATAGATCAAGGATTTTGTTAACTCTGACTCATAAAAATTTTGACAGATTTCAATGAGGATCTTCTTGAAAGATGCAAAAACATATATATAGTGATTCAGAGTTAGATGATTTGTTGTTTTTTTGCTATTTTTGGTTTCTTTCACAACTTTTTCAAAAATAGAATTAAAATTTAGGTAGCAACAATTCTCATGGATTTTCTTCACTACCTTTTGCGCTAACAACATTGCCAAGAAAAACTTTTTTATCCATGCAAACGTTACACTTCTTTAAGTTGACATATAATTTCTCATTTCTTAAAATATCAATCACATAATATAAAAAGTTAATATGCTTATATAATTTTTTATTGTACAACAATATATCATTAAACTATATTATAATAAAACTACCTATAAATGAACGGGATACATAATTCATCAGTGAGACCAAATGAAATAACCAATCACTCATATAACTCATATTTAGTTTTAAAAATAATTTTTTATTATCTATTTCTTTCATCCTAATTTGATAATCACTTTTTAAAAAGATACATTATTTATATAACACATCTAACATGTTATCTAGCCTAGGAATTAGATGAATTTAGACTCGAAATTATGTATAAATACCATATTAAAAAATAAAGGAATAAAATAGAAAATGATAAGAATTATATAGCCTTCAATTTGGTCTAAAAGTTTTGTTTTCTAATCTTTTAGGCCCTAAATTAGAAAGAAGAGAGAGAGACTCGCTTGAAAATGAAAAGGAAAGAGGAAATGATTGGTTTGGTCATTTTTTAATGATGAAATTCATCATATTTCATGTCAATAAAATCCATTTGACGAGAAGAGTTTGATAATTATGTGTTTTGCTAATAAACATGCTTAAAAAAAAAATTGGATTCTATTTTGATTTTTTTTACTAGGTTAGTCTTTGCTTTTTTAAGTGATTTTAGGGTGTGCTGAGGTTATTAGATGCTTTATGAAGGTTTGCATGGTGTTTATTATGTATTTTGGGTAAAAATATATTGAAAAAAATAGATTTTCAACCCATAATATCCACCATTGAATTTTCAGTCATCATTTTGATAGCTAAATTCTAAGAAATAGTAAGTAAAGTGTCGTTCGACCCTTCAAAAAAAAAAAAGCAAGGCTTATGGTTGCGGGCCTACCCTAGGTTTGCATGTTTAGATTGATAATTTTTAGGCTTTTATTCTTTTTTTTTTTAATTTTACCTTTTTTTTCTTGAATTGTTTTTAAAAGAATTTACCCTTTAATATTTGGTTTGTTTTTAATTTGTCTTTATGATTTTTTTGAATTGTTTTTTATAAAGTTATTATAATCTTAAATAAATATTGTGATATATGATTGGAGCTTGAGATTTTTTTTCAATTTTATTTTTCTTTTAGCATTTTTTTTTCAATCTTTTTTTTTCAGAATTTGGTTGTGTTTTAGTTGATTTTTATTATTTATTTTGATTTAATTTTTATAATATTATGATATCAAATAAATATCGTGATATTAAAAAAAAAAAAGCCGAACCATGTTTTCCCTATGTGTTTATCTATCTCCCACGCCTCTCTTCCGAATCTTATCCGTTAAGATGAAGTGGAGGTTAATGTTTTAGCATGACAAAATATCAAAGTTCATCAAGGCTATTGGAATTGTTATTTTATGAAAACTTTCATATCTTTGGTAAATATTGCTATTGAACTAATACTCAAAGTGTAGACATTCTAGCCTTTTTATATATAAATATATTATTAAAGTGTTAATATTCTGGTGATTTAATAGACACAACAAACATAAGCATTTGAAAATTAATGACATTAATATATAACACTAGCTTGTAACATTACATTCATAACATAATTATTATAATTAAGGGTATGCGAAGAAAATACAATGAAAAATAATTAATTTAATCCTTGTGATTGTAGAAATTATCTACTAATTTTTTAATCAATTGTGACCAGCAACTTGCTAATGGATACTTTGCCTTATTAGTTAATACTATTACCTAAATACCAAAAGTAACATCTAAACATTGCAAGAAACAAAAGGGTTCAGTGTGTGGTTTTCAGAACTAGGAGTACTAACTTAATAATTTCTTAAGAATTAGGGGAGTAAGATGTAATTTATCCAACAAAAATAAGATTCAGTCTCCCATTATCTGACAGATGGTAACAGAGATTCACCAAATTCCTCCCTCTTTACTGCACAGATGTGCTTGAGTTAGATTCTGACTTGGTTTTCTATATTGGCTCGAATCACTTTTTATTTGCTTTTTCGTCTTGCTTTCTTATTACTGTTTTTTGAGCGTGTTTATATACCAATACCATTAGCATTACCACCCCATCACCTTGCCTCCAACAACCAGAACCAAAAGAGAAGAGAAGGATTCCTCTTGAGAAATCTCTGTCTCGGTGAATTGTTTCTGCATGCATTCAATGCATGATGTTTTTTTTTTTCTTTCTGTTTTAACATAGTCCTGATAGGATCATATTGGTGATGACTGTACTTTTCCTGTTTTATTGAGAGTTTTTTTATTTCTCTCTCTTTTTTTTCCTCTCAAGAATATTATGATTTATTTCTTTTGTGTGTGATATCTCCAAGTATTGTCATTGTATTTGTGTTGATGTTGTGAATTTGGTTTTCAAGAGTAATCTTTTTTTTTTTTCCCCTATGGGTTTTGACCTTTACACTGAAATAAATAGTCTCTACTGCTTATGGCTTGGCTTATAGCAGCTTTCTGTATGTGTGAATCTCCCTTGATTTTTATTTTATATGAAGGTAATTGTGCTTGGAGTCTCTGGCGATTTGTGGTTATCTCTTTGTTGTATTCTAGTGCTTCCTACCAGATAAAAATGACCCTTTTTATTCTTTTTTGATCTGTTGGCACAACAAAAAAAGAAGTTAATTGGGTTTAGTTGTTTCCTCTGTTTCTTTTTTCCCTTTTAAATAAGCATGATTGCCGCGTTGTGTGTTGAATCTACAAGTACAATTTTTTTCTCCAACTTGAATTCAGGTGAATCAGATTCTCAAATTGCTCTGGATTAGCTTGCATGGCAAGAAGGAAAAGAAAAATATGACTTGTTATGTGTGATGCATGAATTTATATAATTCTGCATAGATTTAAGTAGGAGGTGAAAGGGGAAAATTATATGAGGTTCGATTTATGAATGTATGAGTGCATTTTATTAAAATGGTCGTTCTAGGATTCCCTATTTCAGTGTTAGAAACAACTACAATTCGGTATTGTCTTGTAAAGAGTAGAATTTTGTCTTATTGCTCTGAGTCTAACGTTGATTTTAGGGATGCTCTGCTTGTATTGTAGATAAACTATAAAAATCAAATATGAAGTCTCAACAGAGAAAGCGTGTTGCAGGTCAGGAAAGAAACTATGGCAGAAGCTGATTACACAAACAATGGGACGGTGGATATCAAAGGAAATCCAGCTGATAAGAAGAAAACTGGAAACTGGAAGTCTTGCCGCTTCATTCTTGGTATGATATTTTGTCTTCTTTTCTCGGTCAAGCTCATTGTATGATATCTGACTTACGATTCCCTTGTAATATCCATGCACTAAAATTGTTTATCATCAAAATTTTAATAATTTCCTTGCAGGGAATGAATGCTGTGAGAGGTTGGCATACTACGGGATGAGTACGAATCTTGTGAACTATCTTGGGGACCGTCTCAACCAGGGAAATGTTGCTGCAGCAAACAATGTCACCAATTGGTCTGGAACTTGCTATGTCACACCACTGATTGGAGCCTTTCTAGCAGATTCATATTTGGGAAGATATTGGACAATTGCGAGTTTTGTTATCATATATATCGTTGTAAGTTTGCTTTAAAAGTGAACCAAATTGCCAGTACACTTGATCAGTGTCTCTGGTTATCAGTTTGCACCGAGAGTAGTTTGGTTTCAGTTAATGCTTGCCTGTTTATTTCTTACCATTCTAGAATTTCCTCTCAGCAAAATGTTCGTCCTGGATTTCACCTTTTCAAGACATTTTATAGTCGATCAGATACATATTTTTATCAGAAATTGGTTCCACAAAATCGATTTTCTAACACCACTTTTACCAATTATGATTGTGTCGAGAAGGAAGACCATGTAAAAGAAGTGGTACTTGATAGTGCATTTAATGCAAAAATCCCAGGTTGAAAAACTCTCTTCGTTTTTCTTATACACATGCTGCTTTTGTCTCTTTTGAGAATTTTGAAAGGTAAACGTCTCAAGCTTGGTTTTATTTTTCATGGGATTTTCTTTTTGTTTGTAAAAGTAAATTGAACATTCTTGCGATATATGTATTTGAGGAAATGATGATATCTTATTTTCTGGCAGGGAATGACACTCCTCACATTGTCTGCTTCGGTCACTGGTCTGAAGCCATCATGTAATAAGGATTCTTGCTACCCGACCACAGGACAAACTGCAGCATGCTTTGTAGCACTTTACATGATCGCTCTTGGAACTGGAGGAATCAAGCCATGTGTTTCATCCTTCGGCGCAGATCAATTTGATGAAACTGATGAGACCGAGAGGGAAAAGAAAAGCTCCTTTTTTAATTGGTTTTACCTTTCAATCAACATCGGTGCTCTTGTTGCGTCTTCTGTTTTGGTCTGGATACAAATGAATGTTGGCTGGGGATGGGGGTTTGGAGTCCCAGCAGTTGTGATGGCTGTAGCAGTTGTGTTTTTCTTCTTGGGAAGTAAGCTATACCGAATTCAAAAACCTGGTGGGAGTCCCATTACAAGGATTGTTCAGGTTATAGTTGCATCCTTCAGAAAGAGTAATGTTCAAGTTCCTGCTGATAAATCTCTTCTTTACGAGACTGTAGAGGAGGAAAGTCAAATCCAAGGAAGCCGCAAGCTTGAACATACCAACAAATTCAAGTAAGTGCCCCAAGCCATCAAGTTTGAGATTCACGATGCAAGTTTCTCGAATCCATTAGGTCAAGTTTTGTTACTTATCCCGGTTGTTTTCTGATACTTTATTTTTTCAAATCCACAAAATTCTACATGTTGATTTTATTTCCTCTCCTATATATTTTCAATCATCTAGTAGCTCCGAAGATTCCTTGATCAACAGGGTCATGCAAATTTATTTTGCGAATAATCATGTCAATGAATCTCATGTTGCAATTCATATATCCAAGCAATGGTTCTTCTGGGTACTTAAGTGTGTTTCTGAAAATGACCGAGAAATCAAGTAAGGTCGTTTCATACTTTTCACCTTGAATGGAGAGGGAAGTATTTTGCACAAAAAGTAACTAATGAGAATGTTCACCCAGATTCATGTTAGACCTAAGCTATTTGGCTTACATGCAAACAGAGCATCTCTTCTATCTATCACACTTCCATTTCTCAAATGCAAACCTTGCTCTGAAGATTTGTAAACAAATTTGTTGAATTATAATTTTCTAGCCTTGATCCAATCAACACTTGATAAATTTCAGGTTCTTCGATAAGGCTGCTGTGAAAACTCAAGATGACAATATAAAGGGCTTAACAAGTCCATGGAGACTCTGCACAGTCACTCAAGTTGAAGAGCTTAAGTCCATAATCAGGTTGCTCCCAGTATGGGCATCTGGAATAGTCTTCTCAACCGTGTACAGTCAAATGAGTACCATGTTCGTTTTGCAAGGAAATACCATGGACCAACACCTGGGTCCACATTTCCAGATTCCATCAGCATCGCTTTCCCTCTTTGATACCCTTAGTGTCATCTTCTGGGCTCCTGTATACGATCGAATCATTGTCCCATATGCAAGGAAATTTACGGGTCATGAACGAGGCTTTACTCAGCTCCAACGCATGGGCATTGGCCTCGTCATATCAATTGTGTCCATGATCACTGCTGGAATATTGGAGGTTGTTCGGCTCAACTTCGTCCAAAAGAACAATTACTATGATCTTAAGTACATCCCAATGTCCATTTTCTGGCAAGTACCGCAGTACTTCCTCATTGGATGTGCAGAAGTTTTTACCTTCATTGGACAGTTGGAGTTTTTCTACGACCAGGCACCTGATGCTATGAGAAGTTTGTGCTCAGCTCTTTCGCTTACTACTGTCGCATTAGGAAATTACTTGAGCACTCTGCTTGTTACCATTGTTACTAAAATCACAACGAGAGGTGGGAAGCTCGGTTGGATTCCTGATAATATGAACAGGGGACATCTTGATTACTTCTACTGGCTCTTGGCAATTCTCAGCTTCCTGAACTTCATTTTGTATCTCTGGATTTCAAAATGGTTTACCTACAAGAAAGCTGCAGGGCATCCTCAACGAGACTGAATGGTTAGTGGACAATGCAGAAATCCCATTTCAAATTTCAGCTCTCTTTCAAGTTCTTTTTGCCTCCAAAAGGTGTTCGATAAATAATGGTGGACACGTTGAGGATTGCCAATGTAGCACAGCTGATATGTTTGTTTTGTTATATTTTATGGTTGTAACTAAGAATATTGTTGTTTGTGGCCAGGCCAATAAGGTTTTTTTTTTTTTAAAAAAAAAATAGAGTTTTGCAACAACCAATAAGCTTCATTTGTTCTTAGGAAAGTAGTGTTTTGGTGCATTACATGTTCTCACGTTACCTTTTATTTTTTGAATTTTGAAAAATTATTTGATGTAAATTTTTCATGTCAAAAGATCAAAATGAAGAAAGAGTTTCTTTCCGGACTCTTAAGTGTTTTTTTTGTTAAAATATATTTTTAAAAATTCTTGAATTTATTTTTTGTTTAAATTATTTTATTTTTTTATATTTTAGAATTATTTTGATGTATTAATAATAAAAATAAATTTTAAAATATAAAAAAATATTTTAAAATATTTTTATATAGAAATTTTTTTAAAAAACAAGCAGTATTACACTACATAAAACTTGTACTTGTATATATTAATCATCAAGAATTAATATAAAAAAATTGAATATGTAAATATTATTTTGTATAATCATACATTAGGTGACACCCACGATAAAAAATGTTGTTTTGGCTCATTTTTTACAACAAAATCAAATATTGAAATATCATTAATTTATTTTAAATTAAAAGAGGAACCAAACAAATGCATAAAGCATGGTCAGATTGGAAAGTTCATTTGTCATCGGTTTAAAAGACTTAGTTTTACTTTTAAGAAATTTTATATTCAAATTTGAATTAATAACTTTTTTATTCATGTTTTAAACCTTAGTTTTACCTCCTTTTTTTTTTCTAATAGTAACTAATTTGTTAATATTTTTTTAATTTATTATCATAATTTATCTATAATTCTCTTTCCATTATATATTAAATAAATAAATTGTATTTTCGTGATACATTTATAAAAACAAAAATTATTTATTTTTAGCAAGAAAAATTAGCTTCTAAATTAGAAAACAAATAGAGAAAATATTTGTATTAACATGTATCCTTCACTTTTATTAGAAAGATCAATGAAAAGATTTTAATAATTAATTAGTATTAAAAATTCTTTTAAAAATTTTAAATTTATTTTATTGTGTAAATATTATCTTTTTGATTTCTTGATTAAGAAAAATTATAATAACCCAAATCACATCTTTTATATTAGAAATTAACTTGAAATTGTAGCTAGGGTTAGTAAGAGTTGTATTACACTAAAAGATATAGGATAATGTGCACCCAACGAAAGGCCCAAAATGAACAGGTGCCATATAACGTCCCTCCCCTCCCCTCCTCTCTCTACCTCTGCCTGGACACTAGAAAGCCATCCATTACAAAGAACTCCATCCTGTGCATTTGCAATTCCAATGATTCCAACTCTGAGTCTTCCCCACCTGAAGGGGACGCTAAACAAGAGCTGCTTGCCAGGATTTCCATGCTTCAAGCCCAAAAGGTCCGTCTCAATGACTACCTGGACGAGAGATCAGCTTATCTGACTAAATTTGCTGAAGAAGCCAATGCTGATGAAAATCATGATAGGCTATAGGAAATAACAAAATGGTTTTGCTCAGCAGTTCTGTTGATAACCTGCTTCTTATTCATTATTTTTGCTTAGCAGATATTGGCAAGCATAGAGAGATAGATGCAAGATTTTGAGGAATCTGCAGAATTGAAAACAAGTGGAAATTGAGAAAAATGATAATAAGGTAGCAGATATTGAAGGTCAAATGGAGGAGGACAGGTATGAGAGGATGTTCTTCAAGAACCTGGGCCAGAAAGCACCAGTTGATAAAGCAAAAGCCAAGGAAGGAAGCTCAGAAGATTAAAGATCTGATTAAAGCGAAAGCAGGGTTAAGAACAAGGAAAATCATTTACCTAGCTTTAATGGGCGTCTAGGCATTGCGATTGCCAATTCCTTCATCTCTTCTTCACCTGATTGGAGAAAAGTTGTATTTCTTGGAGCAATTTTAGCAGGATTGATCAATCACTTGAGCTATGAGCAGAGATTAACATTAGACATAGAAAGAGTGGAAAAAGAACAGACAGACAAAGAAAAGTGAAGCTCTCCTTTTCCCTCAGTATAATGAATTTATTTATTGTATAAAATCTTAGACATCCCATTTTGAATGAATATAGCATGATACAATAACCCCAAGTGAAAACTTACAACTTGGATTTGATACATCAAGCTACTTTCTTTTGCATCATCTGCATCTGATCTTGCTGATATTACTGCATCACCAAGATCAAGGTAACTGGGTTACCATGCCTGATGCTTTGCCAACTATCCTATAACTGTTATCAAACCATAGTTCTCACGTTGTTATGCCTATTTTCTGAGAAATGTTTATCATCATTTCTGTTGTAAAGATTTTTTTCTGGCTAAGCACTTTCGTGAGATTGCTTGAACTGTTCACATGTATACAATAGGATGCGGGATGGTTTGCCACTGTACAGCTGGGCAAACCAGAGAAAAAAAGCCCAAGAATTCAAAGGTCGAGGAAAAAGATCACATACTTTGGACTGTATTGTCAAGAAGCTTGAAGGCGATCATTACTCCTCCATAAGGGTTTTCTAGTGGAAAATTCCGAAATGGTGTACCAAATAATGGAAGAGAAGATTTATGGGCCCTGAAATAAAATGATGAAGCAAAATCTGGTTGTTGAAGGGCTAAATTGGTGATATGAGCTGTGGATACTCACTGTTTGCCTTGCAGGTAGTGTCCAGGTTTTGTCACAAGCAAATATACCACCACATCTGCAAGTTTTTCCATAATATTAAGAAAACAATGTTTGAAAGGAAGTTCCACTATCAATAAAAGTAAGCAAAGTGTAGTTGCTTGTGACCTTCTGGAAAACCTCATACCAGTATGGACACAATTGCTTGCTTTTATCCATAAAAATTCCCAGAGCACAGATAGCAATTCCTTTGAAATGGATGCAGAATAACTTTTACCTCCTGAATCAGGGAAATGTACGAATCTTAGCATCACTCGAAACTAGCCACGAGACTGGTAGCTGAAAGTGCAGGAAAATATTTTCAGTTCAAAACGGCAAATTGTTAAATCTCTAGTAGAAGTAGAAAAGTGTATGATAAGAAAACTTCTTTTCCTGTCGTATTGATCAAATCTATGCGCATAAGAACTACTCCTACGTAAATAACAATACAGAAAAGAATTCTTACTTTCAGGACAATGAATCAAGAGGTCCCAACTTTAAAACGGCTCTGACAAGTATATACCATGTAATGGAGGTTGGGAGTATTCCGTGTTTCAAGGCATCATCGAAGAGCGCTATGCCATCTGATATTCTACCACAAGAACAAAGCCCTTTGAGTGTAATATTGTAGGAGATTATATCCGGTTGAAACCCATTCTTGAACATGCAAGCCCAAATCACTGATGCCATCTCGCACTCTCTGGCTTTATAAAGCCCATCCATGAGTGTGTTATGCGTCACAAGATTGGGAAGACAGTTTGACTGCTTCATATTTGAATAGAGCAGCAACGCATCTTCAATTTTTCCTGCGGAGCAAAGTCCGTGCATCAAAATGTTGTGCATGGTTACATCAGGCTCCAAACCCTTAACAAGAACTTGACGCCACAGGTTGAGGGCCATATCAATCTTTTTGCCTTGACAGAGGCCATCCATCAATAAGCTATAAGTGATCATGTCTGGCTTCCAATCTTTTTCTAGCATTTCCTTTACAAAAGAATATGCATCGCTAAATCTCTCTGCCTTGCACAGACCATTTATAAGAGTGTTATAGGAGACAACAGTAGGAGAACAACCTTTGGATTCCATTTCTCTTAAAAAACAAATTGCCTCCTCAAGTTTGGAAGCTCGGACAAAACCATTAATCAATGGATTGCAGACATGAGGACTCAACTCACAGCCATACTTATCCATCTGAAGCACTATACCCAATGCTTCATCTACTCTCCCTTGTTTGCTTAAGCCATCGACTATCGAAGAATATGCAAAAGCGTCCAGCTTATCTCCTCCATCTTTTGCCTCTTTCAATATTTTCAAAGCCTTATTCAAATGCCCATTCTTACACAACCCGTGAATCAAAACTCCATAAGTTGCAGAATCAGCTCCACTCCCCCTCCTACGCAAGAGTTCCCAAACAGAAATAGCTTCTTCAACCTTGCTATTTTCAAACAATCCTCTGATAAATATGTTATAACTAACAACATTACGACAATTCTCCTTCCCCATCATAACCCACAATTCAAAACTCTCCTTAATCTTCCCTGCACGGCAAAACCCATTAAGCAATGCATTATAAGTAACAACATCAACCACCACACTTCTCTTGACCATTTCTTTAAAAACCTCCACAGCTCCATCAACATTTCCCACATCGCATAACCCACATATCAAACTGCTATACGTAAATAAATCCATTTCACACTCATTCTTCTTCATTCTCTCCCACATTTCTAAACTCTCATCAAACCTCCCCATTTTACACAGCCCATTAATCATAACATTATAAGTAACCACATTTGGATAAACAGAAGACCCTTTAACTAACCTTTCCCAAATCTCTTTCCCCTGGACATAATCCCCTCTCTTAAAAAACCCATCAATCATTATATTATAACACATCACATCAGGAACTAAACCTCTTTCAAACATTTCATCAAACACCTCAAGTGCACTTACCAAATCCCCACTTTTCACCATCCCATTAATCACAGTACCATAGCTATACACATCAGGCTTTAATTCCTTACTCCACATCCAATCCAACAACCCTTTTGCCTCGACAAATTGTCTCTTCTTAACAGAAATCTTGATCAAAATATTATATGTTTGCAAATTAGGCAAGATGCCCGCTGTTTCAAAATAAGCAAGAAAAGACTCTGCTTTGTCTAACATGTTTGCTTCAATAAAAGCATTTAACAAAGCATTGTAAGATCTTATTCCAGGCTTGCACCCAAAAATCTCTTCCATTTTTTGGAAGCAATCCAAGGCTTCGTTTGGCATCTTGCTTTTTGCATAAGCTTTCAATACTGTTAAAACAACATCTTCTGTGCATTTACATTTCTGGGTTTTGATGAGTTCAACTATACGAGTCACGTGGTTATTTAAATTTATTTTTTATATTAATACATTAAAATAATTTAAAAATACTAAAAAATAATTTAAAATAAAGAAAAAATAAAAAAAATTCAAAAATTTTTAAATATTTTTTTAAAACACAAAAAAAAACAGGCTTTAAAATAAATAAACCTCCAAGATGAACCATGATTAAGGAAAAAATAAAAAATTTCAAAAAATTTTAAATATTTTTTTAAAACACAAAAACAAAATAAAGCTCCAAGATGAGCATTGCCATGTACCATGAGACTAATTAACTCAAGTCTCTAATGCATGAGTAATTATAAAATTTGGTTAGTTTTGAATATAATTTTTAAACTTAACTTGAGATTAATAAAAAATAAGGTTTAAATTATGAATTGGGTAAGTTAATCTGGATTATCCTTACGAGACTTGTTTCATTCAATTTCAAGATTTTTTAAAAGATTTTACGCAAAAAAAATTAGATTTAATTATTTATTTATTTTTTTGATAAGGTTTAAATTATGAATTGGGTAAGTTGATTTGGATTATCTTTACGAGACCTATTTCATTCAATTTCAAGATTTTTTAAAAAGTTTTATGCAAAAAAAATTAGATTTAGTTATTTATTTATTTTTTTAGTTTAAAGCAATATTATTTTAAAATAGATGTGTGTTTAAGTAGCTACCCCATAACTTAAGTTTTAAACCACGTCTAATAACTATGAATAAATATATGCTCAATAATATTTAGAATTATTTTTTTGAACTTTCAATCACACATGAAATATGGACCTATTATCTTTATATTTTTTTTATTAACTTGCTTTAACAATCTTTTAAAAAAAATTAAAACAAAAAAAATGATCCAAGTTGAAAATATTATATTTGTTAAAATAAACAAGAGATACATTAATAGAAAATTTTATTTTAATGATTTTTTCTTAAAACAATTGTATTTTTAAGTTTAATAACAATGTTAAAGAATTCTCTAAGACTTTGATTTTTTTATATCATTTAAAAAAATATTGGTTTGTATGCATATACAAACTAGTTATAAGCTAAAATAAAAATTATGAATATTTTGAGGGGTAGGTTTGATTAACTATGATGGTACCCCTGATAATGGTTAAAAACCTGTGTTTGCTTAAATGAGTTATTGAAATTAGAGTTGAAAAAAATATTAGGAAAACATTTCATAACTAGCTTTTCTAGGTTTTGAGATTTTAGATATATGAGAAAGTCCGTAACTAAATTTTGGTTATCAAATAGATTAAGGTTAGCTTTTGGACACAAGACTAAAAACTCAACCTCATTATTTATGGTGAAAATGCACTATTTTTTTTAACGATTAAAAAACCTTATTTAAAAAAAATGTTACTTTTCATTTCAATTTTTTTTAACGATTAAAAAACCTTATTTAAAAAAAAATGTTACTTTCATTTCATTGACCAATGTATTACTATTAATTATAATAGTATAATTACAAAATGCCTTGAATAAAAAAAATCTTTGAAGTAGGTTTTGAAGGCAAAGTGGTTTTTTTATCGGGATACATTTATCTCTTACAAATTATATGGGATAGATTTGTAATTTTTTACAAAAAAAATTCACAAATCTATCCCATATAATTTAGAAGAGATAATTATATTATGATGAAAAGATCACTACACATTTATTCCTAGAATAATATAATCTAATACCTGCTACTCGGGAATATTTATAAAAACACTCTATTTACAACCTCATGGCCATGAAACTGGATGGTTACACTCCAATTCTTCTATAGAAGTCGTCAACATCTAATACTTGATCAGCTTCCCTATATTTTAGATTTTATGTTGATCGAATTTGCACATTTGAACAAATAAATGTGAAGTTACGAACTTTCAAAGTATGCAAGATTGAATCTAAATGAAAGGTCTATATCTCCTTTACCAACTTCAGGTAATTTTCAATGACGTTTACATTAAAAATGCTCTAACAAATCCTCAAAAGTGTTCAACCCAATCAACCTTGATTGTGACAACTATTTCGCAAAAAACCACAATTTTTTTTTTGTGTGTTCACATTTAAAGCTTCTCAAAAGATTTTTATCAATGGCTTTAAAACCTCCCTCTCAAAATCAAAAGGCTTGAAATAACTCATTTCCCTCTAAGTCTAGCAAAACTATCAAGTACACCTAAAACCAAAACTATCATTGCAAAACCAATCCACTACAAGAGTTTGTAGGTGTTAATTTTTGTCCAAAACCCTCTCACTTTAATCAAAAGGTTAAGATTTGATCAATCTTTGAGGGATTCCACCAAAAAACCTAGAAAACCCTATAAATACCCTTGTAAATAAAAAAAAGTAAAAAAAAAGGAAAAACATGGGGAAATATTCTATTAATAAACCATATTCTAATGGTTCAAAAGCCTAACATGAAAGGTCTAACAAGCTTTGCAATGAAAAATAATGAAAGGGGAAGAAGAAAGAAAAAGAGGAGAAAAAACATCAACCTATAGTCAGCAAGCTTGGAAATGTATGACCAATTAAAAACTCAAGGTGGAGTTCATGTGGCCTACTCATTCATGTTTAAAAGTCTTTAGATATTTTTTTGAACTTGTTTTAGTGGTATGATGTTTTCTAGTTTTATTTTAATTAATATATAAAAATATTGCTCTCATTGTTTAAATCTTGTCTAGAGTTGTTGATAATGTTACCAAGTGTCAAGATAATATATTTGTGACTAAGTTTGATAAAATAGGAGAATTTTAGATTTCTAACAAAAGGTGGTAGTTGATTTTTGATGTCTTTTTTATTTTTGTTAGTTTATGTTCTTAATTCCTATAAAACCCTAAAAATCACACTTATACACACACACACACACACACACACACACACACACACACACACACACACACACACACACACACACACACACACACACACACACACACACACACACACGTGTGTGTGTGTGTTTGTATATATGGTGTGTATAATAATAATAATAATAATGCATTTAAATAAAGAAGAAGGAGAGAGTCGGCAACCCATAAAAAAAGGAGAGATTTGGAGACCTAAAGTGGAAGAAATAAAAAGAGAAGGACCGGCCTTAAAAAGGTATGAATAAATGAGTGATAAAAAAAAGAGGTGGAGAGAGAGAGAGAACAAAACTGTCATTCCTTGAAGAAGGAGAGCTAAGAGCAAAAAAGAAAGAAAAAAGGAAAAAAAGAGTCACTCGCTGACTCTTTATTTTCTCTTAAGAACATACAAGGAGAACCACATGCAATCCACTATATGAAAGGAAACTAAGATGGTTAAGGAAGATTTAGACATCAAAAGATAAGGCAATAGAAGAAGGAATCCAAGAAGGAGCTGGTGAAAATAAGGGAAGAAAAGAAGAACAGTCGAAACATTTAAGGGAGAAGAGATTTTAATGAGTAGAAAACACAACTCGGATAAACCTAAGACCTTCCAAGAGTGATTAGTACTTAAAAGTGCATTTTTATCATGGTTTTATATCATCATTTTGCACTTGAAGTATCAATAACTCCTTAACCAAAGCATATTTTATAATAATATATCTAATAATATAAGATAACTTTAATTTGTGGTAAATGTTCATTTTAAATGCAGGCCTATCACATAAATGAAAGGATTGATTGATGACTTGAAGAACTTAAATTGCAAGGATAAAGAGATGGCCAAACTTAGAAAAGAGATGTCGGTGCAATCCAAACCGGAACACTGTTCGGTAAATGGGTCATATCTGGAGCTATATATCTCAGATTTAGGTCCAATTTATATGGATAGAAAGGTAAGACATAGGCCTACAACTTTCATATGGAGCCCAAGATCTAAAAAGGCCATTATCAAGTCCAAATTGTAGCAACAACAAAGAAGCCCGAATCTGTCTTCCAGCCCGAGCACTGTTCGGTATTTTGGCCATATCTGGAGTTCTAGAAGTCCAAATGAGCTGAAGTTTTTACACAAGAAAGCTGAGACAATTGCCTACAACTTTCATGTTTGCAACTGGCTCCAGTTTTGACGTTATCAATGACGTTTTGGGCAGACAAGAGAAGATAAGGATTGTCACCAAGTCAAAAGTTGGTCACCCACTTATCAATTAGTCATCAAATCAATAGTTCCCATTTTTGGCCTATAAAAGGAGGCATTTGCCATGCATTTAGGCATCTTGATTTCCAGATCAAGATCATGCTCTTCCTTTCTCTCTTTGTATTTTTTATGCTTTGTTTTCATTAATATTAAGTTTATGCCTTTCATTTCCTTTCCTTTACTTAGTTAACTTTTATGTTCTTATTTTGTTTATCTATTTTGCTTTCTTTCATTATGTCTAGCTAAGTTAATTATGTCAAGGTGAAAAGGTTACACTAATGGTGTAAGAATAAGTATAATGTAAACTTAATATGGACTTTAATGTTTGATACTAACATGTTTTATATTTGTTATCTTGTTCACTCTTTAATACTTTGCTTGTTAAATGACTAATCTTGATTTATGTTATATAACACTTGGTACAACAAATGCTTGGCACTTTCATAGCCCATAATGTATGGTATAACCGACACCTGAGCTATGAAAGGAACTTGATTTATTGTTAACATAAGTTATAATCATGAATGCTTGACGAGATTTACAAGTATTAGCATTAATTGAATAAGATGACTAATGTAATCATGTTAACAATATATAATCTGATTGGATTGTTGTTTATAATTTTTACAATTAACCTCCCTGTGGTTCGACCCCGGTCTTGCCGGGTTATTTATTACTTCGACACTCCTACACTTGGGAGAAGACATCAATCTTTTAGTCGTGTCAAAGAGCAATTTCAAACATTCTGGGTAAGTTACATGCAAGAAAACAACAACCTTGGGTTAAGTTCTTAAAAACATTTCGAGGTAAGTTACAGTGAGGATAAGTGTGGGGGAGAAGTAGAAAAAGGCTAAGTGATATTCTTGACCAAATAAGAGGATAAAGAACCTAGAGGAAGGTCTTTAGACCGCC